TTAAAGAAGTTACAATTTTCACTGTTGAAAATTACTCAGCTGGGTTGATATTTCACAAGATATGAGTGTAAATGGATTTCATAAGAAACATGTCAATATCAATATCACACTTGGCGCACTTTATGGAGATAGCGTTGCAACATACAACTAATGGTCGAGAATAGATACATGCGAAGTTGGGGGCTTTTAGAAGTTTCGAACTTATATCCCTCCAGAATATCGGAGGCATTAATAACGGTGTAGGACGAAGTCACCCGTGCCATATCTGTTTTCGGTGGAGTATCTGCAGGAGGCTGAAAAAGGTGTAAGAAAAAGGAAGGACGAAAAGCAGAGCACACAATATCCGTGGAGGAATAGTTAAGGTATAAACATTTAGTCTATTTATCTGTTACTGAAGTATTTATTAGGTAAGAACATACTAATGTGTTAAAGAAAAATAAGTGTGGGCAAGGTATGAGTGGATAAGGAACTGTATAAATGAAGGTAGTTTAGAAGGAAGTATGGAATTGTGTAATTATAAAATAAAGTGCTGAAAACAGTATTCCGATACAAATGACTGTCTCTCTTTACTTTAGAAGCTGTTTGAACTCTCTTTTTTTTGTTTTCAGATTTTATAGGGTATGGAGTGGACATTTTGAAGTTAAGCAGTCGATAAAGTCGTCTTAAAACTTAAGATATGCAGAGGGAAATCGATACAAGTTCATGTTTACTAGTATGACCACACCCCCTCCACACCTCTCATTGCCTGATCGATCTTGACGATAGATATTGAAACCTTGTAGTGAAACTGAGCAACTGCCCTGTAAATCACCGAACAAAGATTTTTGCATTGTGATTACACCTCAGTTACGATAACTTTTGGATTCAATAGGAGTTAAAGATTGTCCACCTTGCCAATTATTGTTCGGCAGTTAGGAATTAGAAGTTCAGGAATCGACACCTGAATAATGTTCATTCTTTTAGATGCACATTGCCAGCCACCACGATGTCTCTGATTGTACTTTTCTGTATCTTGTAAAGTGTTGGGTCGTGGACTTTTCTTATGCGCACATGAAAAGTATGTGAGCCCAAAATACATGATGTGTCAAAATAAAATAATAAAAATGATAACTTGTTGAAATATCTAGACGGAAGGACCAAGTAGCAAAGATATTCAAGCAGCTCACTAAATATTTCGTCCAGTAAAGTGTGTAGGTACGTACCATTCAGGTCTATTTTTGAAAAATACATGGACTTTCGTACTTTACATAAAATATCTTCAGCTTCTTCAGTGGTACAACTCTTCTGCAGTGGCCGAGCATCTAGTGCCAAATGGTGATCACTCCAAACTCTATGTGTTCTTTACATTTGCCTTTAATGGAATTACACTGGGAGTAACCTAAATGAACGACTCAACTGGGATCATTATCCCTTTTTCAAGTAGTCTATCTAACTCACTCTTCACAGCCTCTCTTTAAACACGTACATTTAGCCGACACTTCAGGAAGACGAACTCTCTCCTTACTTCCTAGTGGGCTGGTTAAATTTTGAAACCTTCTATGGCCTTCCACTATTACAAGATTGGACTTCTGATTAAGGTACTATAAGAGGAGTTGGTGCATACGGAAATGGACATGTTTGGTATTTTGAGGCTTTTTAACCCAATAACGGATGGGTCGTACTCATTAACTAGAAAAGGTGTGCTCACATTAACATCCTCTTCTTTCTTCAGCAAAATGTTGACTGCGTAAGTTGGACTTGGTTGTTTCAGTAATTATATATAACCGTGAGCGACAATAAATCCACCATTCTGTCTAAATCAGTTGGTTTCACCTACAACCATTTAATTCTATGTAGAAGATGACTTGGAACATTTACAAAATTTTTACGTGTCCAACCATTCTGCATTTATGGCTATGCGCATAACAAGAATGACATGAATTACGAAGATGCAATTTACGACATGAAAAACAATGTAGGGCCAGTGAAATGTTACTGAACCCTAGCCAAATCATCCGGCAGTTGTGTCACTAAATATCGAACACATCATCGGTCCCCGTCAAGGTCGAGGACAATCAGAGCGCATCAGTTGATCATACGCCATGGACTGGCCCATGCGGCAGTGGCTCTACTCTCACTTGTATCTACTTTAACTTATATATCCTCGTAATAACGTCCTTTGTATTGTACAGTCTTCAGAGCATCCATGGTCCATTGACACGTCAATGGGATAATCTACGTAAGGTGCTGGTCGCGAAGTGTGACTTCGAAGTTAGCTTGTTCGTCAGACCATTCCCGTGTAACTCGAGTAGGCCTCCAAACATTCGACATAGATCATCAACGTTGATGTTCTGCAACAGGATTTAATACCATTAGACAAATTAGAAGTGGTTTTCGAGATTTTCGCTTGTCTGAATGAATTGAAACGGTTACTTATTGAGGAAATTAGGCAGGTTAAGGTTTCTACAATAAGAGCATTTTCACACTTGCAGTAACCATTTTGAAGGTTTTGTATGTGAAAATCCCTCCATGCATACATTTGCAACTTGTCCCTACTGGTTTCTTTAGTTTAATATCTTGTCAGTCTTTTTGATGCCACTTAGGACGGTAATATTTTCTTTCGCTATTGTTTCCTCAATTTTCTTTCGCCTTCACTATGTTTCTATGTTTCTTCCTGAACAGTATTTATGTTGTTTCAGTTCATACTTAGTCTTGGCGGCAGTCATATTGATTGTTTCCCCTTTGATAGTGTTGCTTGGTTTGACTAGGATCGTGCAATTCGGTTGGGAATTGAAGTACTTTTCCAGAATCGGAAATACTTTGTGTTATAAAGCAACAGACTACTACCTTCTAAACGGATTTTTACTTGATCTATCCAGAAAGGTTGGAATAACACTTATTTTTTGGTGCGTTTGGTAATTTACTTACATTCCTTAGCAATTTGTCTATTTGTTGTAATTTAGATCGATTATTGATGGAACAATTATTGGTTGAATAACTGAGTGGTAATATTTGTTTAGGTAATAATATACATTTGTATTTATGATGAAATTTAGAACCGTTAATTCCCCAATCACCTTGTTCTGATTTCAAAGGGGTGATAGTGAGTGTCTAAACTACCCAGACACTTATTCTTCAGCCAGACCGTAGTTTGGATCTTACATTACTCACAAAAGGAAGCATGAACTGTTTTAAGAGGATATGGAAGATCTGAGGCGCAAGATGGTCCTTTTAGTGCACTTAGTTCTGTTAGAACTCAATGGTTTAATTCCGAAGCCTTAATTTCTGTTCCCAACACAAGAACCGGGCCATGCATCATATCTACGTAGACTTTTTGCTTGGTACACAAGCGATGAGACAATTTTTCGAGTTAATTTTTTGCGACTGTCTGTCTTCTCATGTTTTACTGCCATCCTTTGTCCTCCTATCCTTATCTGATTATCTGTTTCGGTTAAACTCTAACTATATGGCTGGTTCACCTTTTTTTAAAGGCTAATGAATTTGAATAATATTGATTTGCCGATTGATCCGGATGCTAAAACTTCCCAAATTCTCTACCATCTATAGAAATACATTGACCTAAAATTTTGACGTTTCTGCGGTTAAATTTGTAGCCGCGGTTATCTGTGTGCAATAATTTCGCCATAAGTCAGCGTTTGAATGGAGTAGGGTAGTTACTGACACCTTCACCACTACAAGAAGTAAACATTAATGATATTTTCAGGAAAGACTGTGGTGTCATTGGTTCCTAGACACACGATCCTTGAAGCATGCATTGTATCAGAGAACTTATAACAGTCCATGAACACATAGAGAACGTGAACTCACGAGCACTTAATGGTGACGGCATGGCTTGGTCATGCAAGCTCGATCACTTTGTGTAACCTCAAGAGCAGTGTATCAAGTATGTTATTCCAGTCTCAGCCTGAAAATTTACTTCAAATTTTATTACGTACGTTACTAACTGTCACGACGGGACACGTCAGCACAGACGATCATGTGACTTTTACGTATGATGTTGTTGATGAAGCAGGCACGTCAAGCTAAGTCCTTATTATTAAGTTAGGTCTATATTCTATTGCAATGGATAAGTGCAATAGTTCCATTCCTAGACCTAGGTCCTACAAATTCAATGAAATCAGATATCTTAAGAAGTCACATTCAGACCTGAAAACCTTTGGTTTGTTACGAAGACTATCAGGAACCAAACATCAATCTTTATCCGGGATGAGTATAGAGGAGATAGTATTATGGAACCTCAGTGAAGGAGATGGGGACGTGACATTATTCCCTAGACATTATGTGGCCTATAAAATTGTTTTAGCCCATATGGTGTCAGTTCCATATTTGTGGAAACAGATGCTTGATAAAATGGATATCTCCCAGCCTCAAAAGTGACAGAAATCAATAACGGCGGGCAACTCTGTTGGAATCGACATGACCAACCACTTGTCAATGGGGACCTTAATATTCTGTCTCGAAATATCCGGAAAATAATGCTGACTCACCAGAAGGATGGTTCGGAATATAGATCAAAGGTGATACCCCAAAAAATTGTAATCGTCAAGTACTTGAAGAATGAGGTGCAGGAGGAAAAACGAAAACACACGATTATGCGGGTAGACCAACTGGTTTCTTTACACTCACATCTTGATATCAGGGTAAGGTTTTAAGTCTTCCATATTGGTCCACTCAGAAAGACGAATATATGGCACACATGAGCCCAATCGAAAGATATTAACAGTTGGAGCAACTCGAATAACTGCATAGATATACAGTCCTCACCAACCGATATTGTATTAATTTTGGCGTGCAAATATTGTTAGCTTAAACGTGTTTTCTTTTAAAAATATGTCATATTTGCTTTTGTTCCTCGTTTCCCATCCAGTGTTTTGTTATTCTAAAATGATATTAGGTGGAGGCCGTCGAGTGCTGTTTTTTTGAATTTGAATTCGACTTTGTCACGGATTCGGAGTAGGGAGATTGCATACATTAGATTATTTGAAAATCGTGTAAAACGTATGAATCCTAGCGGACATATAGTTGTCATCCGTAGGGACGGTACTGATGGTTTGACTTGTGATTGGTGTTCACCCTTGTGTGATATTGGAAGGTAAATAATATATTCACTGGCAACCTCATTTTGCAGTAACCAGTCTTGTGATATTCGCGTGCAACACTCAACAGTTGCTCCATTTCATTGCACTCTACAACTGCTGAAAGATGGATTAGTTCAAGCCGTCAGCAGAGTAGACGGACGATATAAAATGTTAGTTAATAATTTCCCTTTGAACGATGCTTGCGTTTTGACTGATAACTGCATACTAACTGTTGGAGATCGTCAGTTTCGCTTTTTCTATCCATCGGTGAGTCTGGTTAAGAATGAGTTAAATTAACATTTTCGTTATAGTTTTTGTATTATATGCCTTTTCGATTACCGTAGATAATAGGATGGTTTCCACCCCTTTGTTATTTCTTGGTCATTTGTCGTACACTAGTAACTCATCTGGTGCAGCACTTTTATAGACAAACGGTCTTTTCGGGCATTCGATATTGATTCTGGTTCGGCTCATTTATCTTCGCTTTCATAAACAGTGTATATTTATTTACATGAAAGACTATCTGAGATTTTCGACTACCTAAAATAGTCTTAAAATCTCTAGACTAATGAAAAATCTTGTACATGTATAATATGTTAGACATCACGGTTCATTAGTCCAATCATACATGTGTTAATTGGCAGTATTAAGCACGTTTTGTATCGTACCTAAGTGTCTCAGACTAATTTCCGATAAGTTCAGTAAACTTGGCTACCTATCCGGTTAAATTTAGCTTTGGAACCAACTGTACAGTTGGATTTTCATTTTTAATGTTTTATTAGTATAACGCTTAGCACCACTGTATCAACCCATCACTATATCTCGTAACAGCATAGAAAATAGTGGAAATCGGGTCAAAACAGTATTGTAAGTAGCAAAACCTTACGTCTTCTTGGAGACAAACTTGTAAATCTCGAGGATAAAAGTAGAAAATACTTCTAAAACAAAATTAAGGGAAGCCGAAAACGACAGATCTACTCAACCTTGATGGGTTTCAGGTTGTTATCAAGAGCCACTGTGATTCGGGGTTATCGCACACATCTCAGCCTGAAACTCCACATTTACCAACGCCGCTCATCCCCACAGTCCTTCGACCTTCGTTCAGCTTGGTCGTGTGCTAGCCATTAGCGAATAGGTGTGTGCAACGCGACCCAGACCTGACTAACTAGGTGTAGTTGCATCTACGTAATAGGTATGAGTTTTGTTAGTTAGGTTATTTTTTATTTTATTTGAACACATAAATATTGCTACAAGGAAGCACCAGATATATATGCGCCTCACAAATCTCATTTGACTTGTGTGACGGCTATGATACTGCCCAGGTGCCCAAACAGAAGCAGGTGGTTTTCCTAGGGGGCCACACCCGGAGCCTTTGACCGAAAGATCTGATCCACAAGGCAGTGGAGCATCGTAAGGAGATGCAGTCCCATGGTAGCCGGTGACCAACAGTTGGTTCATACGCCATTCGTTCCTTCAGGATCCTGGAGCCAGCCCATGTGCACCATAGGTTTGGAATCAGGGTTTGCCAACTCCCCTAGGTGGACTTTCCGTGTCCACCAACCCGGTTAAAGCACCGGACATTCGCTTTTCGTCCTCTCAATTTCGTAAACAGCAGCAATGCGACTAGAAGGTAGTGAGTAGGACTTCCCTGGCAGGTGCCTTGATCTTGTTTTGTCCACAACAGTTGTTTGCAAAATTACTGTACTGTTCCATCTAAATACAATTTGGAACGAAACAAACTGATCAAAACTGATATCTAATTGACAAACAATGAAGAGAATATAACCTAATGAGGGCAAAACTCAAAGATGAAATGTAGGAATTAGGACGGCTCGTGTACAAATACAGTTGTGTAAGAAAGCCACTGCGAACGTATGATAGATCCTTAACTACACTGGTGGTAAAACCTCACTTAACCGGTAGGCAAACAATGTCCATAGGTATAGAATGGACTTTGCACATTCTAGATGCAAAGTACTTTTACAACAGTCACATGACCCTGGACCTGCATTCATTTTTGGTAATGAGTGGTCAAAAGATTGATTTATTTGAACACAAACATGACTAAGGGGCACCAGATGCATGTGCGCCACGTAATATCAATGATGTAAAGTGCGTATAATAATAACAACAACGAACAGAAATCAGTGTGTGAGCGTGAAATAATAGTAGACTAACGTGTTCCAATGAGTTGTAAGGAGTCTGTAAAATCCCAATGCTCACAAGCGGGACGTTTCCCGAAACGATAAGCGACTTCACCTGCCCTTTTTATTGCGTGATGTGAATGCGGTCAATGCTCATGTATACTTTTCGGTGAATTGATAGCTAACCTTAAACATAGCTCAGTTTGATACTTAGTTATGACAGAAGCTGCAACCAATTTGCTTACATCTATCCGTTCTGCGCGATGAATTTATTGATCACTGAAACGTAAGATAAGATAAACACAGACTAGGGCATGGTCGGAGTTCAGATAAGTAATCCAAAAGGAGTGGCAGTCCATTACATAACCACGCTAGCGGTAGCTGATAGCGATGTGATCAATCTGAGTCCAGGCTTGAGATGTAGATGGAGGACGCTAAGCTGCACATAGAGCATAACTGTGCTAGATAGAAACAGGTTGTAGTCTGAACAAAGTTTCAGTAGACAGTCACCGTTATCTGACCTAAGATCGTCAGATCCCCATCGGCCACCCAAACGTTTCTCCTCTATGTCTAGACGCTTAGTCTGTGCATTCAGGTATATGGCTAGTACTACAATACCTGTCGAACGCGCTTTATGTAGAACACTTAATTGGTAATAAAACTCATTCTTGATGGCATCTGAGCTGAAATTTGTCGGAGCGTAGGCGGAAATGACGAAAATGCATCCGCTTCAGCGCTTAGTGCAATACTAACGCCAGCAAAGCCAAACCACAGGGTTCTCGGATAAACGCATGAGAAACAAACTTTTCGAAGCAAATGATAGAGGATTTGTAGTACTGCGGTTAGAGTCCTAATTGTGGGTCTCGGGTAGACTGCAGACATGGGTGTTGAGACTTTTTAAAGACATAACCAACCCTATCTGCTGTCCGATCTGCGTTAATGTGCGAACGTTGAACAAGGCCAGTTTGAATGTTATATGTGGTTTCAGAAAGATTTGCAGTATTGTGTTCGGTAGTAGCATTGAACTTTCGACTAGTTAGTAATCTGAGATCGTTTAGACAGGACAGGGTTTCTATCATAAGCGAGCTGCTGGAATCCCTTTCCTGTCTAAAGGATTTCAGGTTACTAACTGATCGAAAGTTGGATGCTATCACCGACCACCAACATTGAAAATCTTTTTGAAACTACGTATACGCAAATCAATTAAAAGTAGTCGAGTTCGCTGTGTAAGTGCTAGTGATGAAGGGGGTGATAAAATCAAGACACATATGGTAAAAGCCAGAGCGGCTTATGCCAATCTGGGCCATCTTTGGCACTTTCGTAATGTTGGTATGGCTCCAAAAGGTCGGGTTTATGTTAGTGAGAGCTACTTTGTTTTCCTGGCCTCTCCGATTTGAGCATGTTAGACGACTCTGTGGTTTATCTTCGTTGTTTTCGAAGGATTGCTGACACTCGGTAGCAGCACTATGTTAGTATTGGAGAGTTTCGGCATCGTGTGTTTGGGCACAACGACGATAATCCAATTAGTGTCACCATCTTGAAACACCGACTTCGGTGGCTTGAGCATGTGGTACTAATGTCGTCCCAGAGAATTCTATATCGTGCATTTTTCTGGAGGCTGAGACTAGTTGTATGATAGTGTCATGATATGAAAAAAATCTGTATAGGATTATCCTCTTTTGCTCCTTCATGATTCCTTGGTTGGGGTTTTAGAGATGGTGCAACACAGGGGCTGGAGACGTTTTATTTATTTTATTTATTTAAACACATAAATATTGGTACAAGGAAGCACCAGATATATATGCGCCTCACAAATCTCATTCGATTTGTGTGAGGGCTGTGATACTGCCCAGGTGCCCAGACTGAAGCAGGTGGTTTTCTTAGGGGGCCACACCCGGAGCCTTTGACTGAAAGATCTGATCCACAAGGCAGTGGAGCATCGTGAGGAGATGCAGTCCCATGGTAGCCGGTGACCAACAGTTGGTTCATACGCCATTCGTTCCTTCAGGATCCTGGAGCCAGCCCATGTGCACCATAGGTTTGGAATCAGGGTTTGCCAACTCCCCTAGGTGGACTTTCCGTGTCCACCAACCCGGTTAAAGCACCGGACATTCGCTTTTCGTCCCCTCAATTTCGTAAACAGCAGCAATGCGACTAGAAGGTAGTGAGTAGGATTTCCCTGACAGAGGCTATATATTCGCGTGGCCATATGAGAGCATTTCGAGAGGGAGAGCAAACTCCCCACTCTCGGCCGTACCAGGGCATTTGGGGACTGGAGACGTTATTAGATATGACTCGGAACAGAAGCCAGTGGAGATCCTGCTGTAATTTTCTTTCGCTTCATGTGAGAGGAACTTTAACTGAGTAAATTTATCCTGGTTTTATTTTTTCTTAACTGAATTGCTGCCATCATTTTTTTCTCTCACACTGATCTCTACTCGTTTTCGTTTTTTTATTATGCTCACATTCCTTTCTCTTCATAATTTTGTTTCTTTACTGTGTGGCGCATGTATATTATTGTGCCCCTTAGTACCAATATTTATGTTAAAATAAATTGGTGTGATCTAACTATATTTAGTTCAGTTGTTAGGGGCGGCCAGATCAAAACGTGGCACAAATCCATGAAGTCACTGACAATTGGACTGAGCCATGTTGGTAGGTGTAGACTACCTGATTGGGATTCGCGAGGTGATAGCAACCGATGGTTAGAGACCTTGAATGACATGGCTCAAAACCGTTTGCGATCGCGAAGATGCATCCACTCTTTGTGCTCTACCAAATTCTAATCTTCTGAATTCTCCATGTACCTATCCTTTTTCTCCTTCCAAATTTATTTCACTGTATTACACTCTTCGAATAACACCTTCAAACCCTAATCCTTCGGTTTACTGCTTATACTCTTTCTACTACCACTGGGATTTGAATGGACAACTGCATCTCTGTGCTAATGTGGTATGGCAACTTGAACTGATGTACGTACGTACGAAGTTCTACGTTGTAACTGACTGAGTTCAGTTGTAACTAATCAAATCATATATATATAATGCTTTCACTCTCATCTCACCGTATGTTTATGATTCACAGTGGAGTTTGGCGAATGCACTTATGCTTAACGAATTCGGACGGAATTCGTTTATGCCGAAATATGATTACTGAATGATGTAAATGTTTAGTCTAGTTCTGTGTGGATAGTAACATTTCAAGGTACTTATTGGAAAAATACAGATAATAGTTTATGGAGCATTAAATGTTTCCAGTTTCTGAAGGTACGACTTGGTTTTAAATATCAAAGACTAAATAGACCATACTGTAATATGTAGCTTGTTGACTCACCAACTGTTTAAGACTTCAAATGGTGTAAAATCGAGTAATTTCCTCGAAATAGCGAATCTCTGTGACATTAAGAAACATGTCACAGTTTTACAAATAATCTCAGTTTTCTACGTTATACACTTGGTTTCATACCTCACTAATTTGCTCACTTTAATTTTGATTAAACATATTGGTTTCTCTTCAGTGTAGTATAAGTGACCTTTTAGACGACCACATCAAAATAGAATATTATACCCCTTAACGTAAACTTATTTTGGAGAGTTGATTCTTAAAGCTTGTAAATACAATTTAACAGCACATTTCTAGTTACGGAAGTTGTGGTTTTCAACCACACCATTGATTTGAATCTTACCCTGCGATCCGGGGTTCAGACAAGTTTATGACTTGGTTAGCTATCATTACGACTTGTGTGGAAATAACTTAAATACAGCAGTCTAATTGGTAGCAAGTTTATGTTACTCTTTCAACCCTGTGAAACAAGTAAATTTAGTTTATGTGCATGAGTAACTAACTTTCACCTAGTTAACATGTTTTTATGGAAATTTCCTCTCGTTTGGGAAGTAGTAATTAACAAAAATATTCTTGTTAATATAATAATATAATATGTGCATTACAATTTGTTTACCCTAATCTCAGAGTCGAAAGACAACATCAGATGACTATTTATACGAAGCCTCCAGCAAAGCATCAAGCCACTATAACAAAGAAGAGGTTCTTACTCCAACTTCTCTACCTGTTGTTCATCCATCCAAACGTACTACTCCTAGAAAGATATTACTTAATCATAAAACTCGCTCCCCTCGACAGAGGTCTATGACTCCGAAAAGAACTCTAGGGACCAGCGAGCGTTATGGTCCAGTTCCTCCTCGTCAGCCAGCTACCCCACCAATAATTCAGGTACTCCGACACGAACCGAATTCATCACAGTCAAAGAAGCTACCTGTATTTCAAGCAGAAAATGTCGAGTCTAATGGAAAAAGTGTAGGCGGTGGTAAAGGTTATAGCTCTACAAATGTGAATGTTTCTAAATCAAATCAACTAAAGTCATCTGTCCTTCCTGACTTGCCAAATGCAGCACACCATCCTTCGAGCAGTGTTTTGTCATCTATAAAAGGTAGGTCACAAAACCGTATTCACACTCCGTTTATTACATCTACTTTACCTAATGACGACTTCAACTTCACACCAAACGAAAATAAACGTTCACCCGGCTTTAGAAAGAGTTTCCATAAGCTGCTCATCCTAAATGAATCATCTAACCAATCCAACCTTTGCAAAATTGATCAGTTTTATGATGAATTAAGTTATGTAAAGCAGCAGGCGATTGAAAGCAAGAGATCACCATCTACTGGACAAGAAAACCAATTTTGTTACGATAAATGCATTAATGATCCCACAGAAGAAAGTTCTCGTGAATATATTCCCGAGTTACTCACATCACCGAATTCCCAGAGGATTACGAGAAAATCATTGTCTGCAAAGTCATCGCAAAAAATTAGCATAACATATTCACCAGAAACAGAACAAGAATTGATTAACCGTAATAGAAAACGTACCATATCCGGTAAAACTTATCCGACGGCAGAGGACATGCTTGCTACTAAACGTCGAAGAGGGGTTTCATTCGGCCCACCTTTAAGCCCTGAACGATTTGATAAATCTCTCCCCCCATCTACTCCAGTTAAGCGAGGGGGAACTCCGCTGGTCAAACTAAGTCACAGTACCCCAGCAAACCATAGTTTACAAGTCAATTCAGTTGTTGGGCACTCAGCTACACCATTTGCTTCCAAATTGTCAGAAATATCACAATTATCAGCTTTCTCAAAAACAACATGTGAATCTCCAAATTATAATGTAACGAATAATCGAGTTTCTGCAGTCATCTCTCTACCTCCAACACCAGACACTAATCTTCTAAATTCCTTGAGCACTGATATCAGTTGTACTCATGAAAGTTTCGCTACTTTGCCAGTGACTTCTGCAGCTTACTCTGCTCCGATAAAAAAATCCAAAGTCAACCGAAAAAATTTAAAAAGACATTCAATTGCGTTCCTAGAAAAAACAAGTAAAACGCCGTCACCAAGAGTCCCACCAACTAGTCCGGTATCTACTAAAGAAGAAGGTAAAAAACAATCAACAAACGAACAAAGAGCTAAATATCAGCAAAAAAGAGCACAGAGCTTCTATACCAACAATAATAAACCTTACAACAATAACAACTACAACAAACTATACTCCAGTGCTTCTTATAGCCTACCAAATATAACTAAGGAATATAAACAAAGAAGAAGAACATCTTCAGTGCCACCGACCAACCTGATAGAGACTGAAGCGGTCACACCTGAAATGAGTTTGTCGTCTGTACGGAAGGAATCTGGTTTGACTGGTGTTAGAAAGTTGTTGAAAACTCCGAAGTCTGTGCAAACACCTCGTGTATCTGGTGTCAGTGAACTGTTTAAGGATGAACCGAGTGTGAAGAGACAGCGTGGTCGGCCTTCATCAGTGCCACCGACCGACCTGACAGAGACTGAAGCGGTCACACCTGAAATGAGTTTGTCGTCTGTACGGAAGGAATCTGGTTTGACTGGTGTTAGAAAGTTGTTGAAAACTCCGAAGTCTGTGCAAACACCTCGTGTATCTGGTGTCAGTGAACTGTTTAAGGATGAACCGAGTGTGAAGAGACACCGTGGTCGGCCTTCATCAGTGCCACCGACCGACCTGACAGAGACTGAAGCAGTCACACCTGAAATGAGTTTGTCGTCTGTACGGAAGGAATCTGGTTTGACTGGTGTTAGAAAGTTGTTGAAAACTCCGAAGTCTGTGCAAACACCTCGTGTATCTGGTGTCAGTGAACTGTTTAAGGATGAACCGAGTGTGAAGAGACACCGTGGTCGGCCTTCATCAGTGCCACCGACCGACCTGACAGAGACTGAAGCGGTCACACCTGAAATGAGTTTGTCGTCTGTACGGAAGGAATCTGGTTTGACTGGTGTTAGAAAGTTGTTGAAAACTCCGAAGTCTGTGCAAACACCTCGTGTATCTGGTGTCAGTGAACTGTTTAAGGATGAACCGAGTGTGAAGAGACACCGTGGTCGGCCTTCATCAGTGCCACCGACCGACCTGACAGAGACTGAAGCGGTCACACCTGAAATGAGTTTGTCGTCTGTACGGAAGGAATCTGGTTTGACTGGTGTTAGAAAGTTGTTGAAAACTCCGAAGTCTGTGCAAACACCTCGTGTATCTGGTGTCAGTGAACTGTTTAAGGATGAACCGAGTGTGAAGAGACAGCGTGGTCGGCCTTCATCAGTGCCACCGACCGACCTGACAGAGACTGAAGCGGTCACACCTGAAATGAGTTTGTCGTCTGTACGGAAGGAATCTGGTTTGACTGGTGTTAGAAAGTTGTTGAAAACTCCGAAGTCTGTGCAAACACCTCGTGTATCTGGTGTCAGTGAACTGTTTAAGGATGAACCGAGTGTGAAGAGACAGCGTGGTCGGCCTTCATCAGTGCCACCGACCGACCTGACAGAGACTGAAGCAGTCACACCTGAAATGAGTTTGTCGTCTGTACGGAAGGAATCTGGTTTGACTGGTGTTAGAAAGTTGTTGAAAACTCCGAAGTCTGTGCAAACACCTCGTGTATCTGGTGTCAGTGAACTGTTTAAGGATGAACCGAGTGTGAAGAGACAGCGTGGTCGGCCTTCATCAATGCCACCGACCGACCTGACAGAGACTGAAGCGGTCACACCTGAAATGAGTTTGTCGTCTGTACGGAAGGAATCTGGTTTGACTGGTGTTAGAAAGTTGTTGAAAACTCCGAAGTCTGTGCAAACACCTCGTGTATCTGGTGTCAGTGAACTGTTTAAGGATGAACCGAGTGTGAAGAGACACCGTGGTCGGCCTTCATCAGTGCCACCGACCGACCTGACAGAGACTGAAGCAGTCACACCTGAAATGAGTTTGTCGTCTGTACGGAAGGAATCTGGTTTGACTGGTGTTAGAAAGTTGTTGAAAACTCCGAAGTCTGTGCAAACACCTCGTGTATCTGGTGTCAGTGAACTGTTTAAGGATGAACCGAGTGTGAAGAGACAGCGTGGTCGGCCTTCATCAGTGCCACCGACCGACCTGACAGAGACTGAGGCGGTCACACCTGGAATGAGTTTGTCGTCTGTACGGAAGGAATCTGGTTTGACTGGTGTTAGAAAGTTGTTGAAAACTCCGAAGTCTGTGCAAACACCTCGTGTATCTGGTGTCAGTGAACTGTTTAAGGATGAACCGAGTGTGAAGAGACAGCGTGGTCGGCCTTCATCAGTGCCACCGACCGACCTGACAGAGACTGAAGCGGTCACACCTGAAATGAGTTTGTCGTCTGTACGGAAGGAATCTGGTTTGACTGGTGTTAGAAAGTTGTTGAAAACTCCGAAGTCTGTGCAAACACCTCGTGTATCTGGTGTCAGTGAACTGTTTAAGGATGAACCGAGTGTGAAGAGACACCGTGGTCGGCCTTCATCAGTGCCACCGACCGACCTGACAGAGACTGAAGCGGTCACACCTGAAATGAGTTTGTCGTCTGTACGGAAGGAATCTGGTTTGACTGGTGTTAGAAAGTTGTTGAAAACTCCGAAGTCTGTGCAAACACCTCGTGTATCTGGTGTCAGTGAACTGTTTAAGGATGAACCGAGTGTGAAGAGACACCGTGGTCGGCCTTCATCAGTGCCACCGACCGACCTGACAGAGACTGAAGCAGTCACACCTGAAATGAGTTTGTCGTCTGTACGGAAGGAATCTGGTTTGACTGGTGTTAGAAAGTTGTTGAAAACTCCGAAGTCTGTGCAAACACCTCGTGTATCTGGTGTCAGTGAACTGTTTAAGGATGAACCGAGTGTGAAGAGACACCGTGGTCGGCCTTCATCAGTGCCACCGACCGACCTGACAGAGACTGAAGCAGTCACACCTGAAATGAGTTTGTCGTCTGTACGGAAGGAATCTGGTTTGACTGGTGTTAGAAAGTTGTTGAAAACTCCGAAGTCTGTGCAAACACCTCGTGTATCTGGTGTCAGTGAACTGTTTAAGGATGAACCGAGTGTGAAGAGACACCGTGGTCGGCCTTCATCAGTGCCACCGACCGACCTGACAGAGACTGAAGCGGTCACACCTGAAATGAGTTTGTCGTCTGTACGGAAGGAATCTGGTTTGACTGGTGTTAGAAAGTTGTTGAAAACTCCGAAGTCTGTGCAAACACCTCGTGTATCTGGTGTCAGTGAACTGTTTAAGGATGAACCGAGTGTGAAGAGACACCGTGGTCGGCCTTCATCAGTGCCACCGACCGACCTGACAGAGACTGAAGCAGTCACACCTGAAATGAGTTTGTCGTCTGTACGGAAGGAATCTGGTTTGACTGGTGTTAGAAAGTTGTTGAAAACTCCGAAGTCTGTGCAAACACCTCGTGTATCTGGTGTCAGTGAACTGTTTAAGGATGAACCGAGTGTGAAGAGACACCGTGGTCGGCCTTCATCAGTGCCACCGACCGACCTGACAGAGACTGAAGCGGTCACACCTGAAATGAGTTTGTCGTCTGTACGGAAGGAATCTGGTTTGACTGGTGTTAGAAAGTTGTTGAAAACTCCGAAGTCTGTGCAAACACCTCGTGTATCTGGTGTCAGTGAACTGTTTAAGGATGAACCGAGTGTGAAGAGACACCGTGGTCGGCCTTCATCAGTGCCACCGACCGACCTGACAGAGACTGAAGCAGTCACACCTGAAATGAGTTTGTCGTCTGTACGGAAGGAATCTGGTTTGACTGGTGTTAGAAAGTTGTTGAAAACTCCGAAGTCTGTGCAAACACCTCGTGTATCTGGTGTCAGTGAACTGTTTAAGGATGAACCGCGTGATAACGTGCGTTATAGTTTACAGAAAGTGTCTAATGTTACTTCATTGTCTCCAAGTTACTGTAAATTGTGTCATTGTTTGCTGTTTGAATGCCAATGTAGTTTCGGTTTTAATAATCTGACGGGGAAGCGTTCCAGGAGAAGATGTTTGGACGCTGTCGTGGAGTCCTTGCCTTCCAAGCGTACGCGTTGTGTAGGTAAAATTGCCGAGTCTTCAGTCGTTAAATCTACTGACGCTGACTATCCCGTTATGAAAATGTCCTCTAGAAGATTGAAACATCCGTCGGCTAATGAATTAACCGTACAACTGTCAAAAACTAAGTCGAAAAACAAGAAGCAAGTTTCCACCACGGGTTCGCATTATTCTGATGCTCTAACGGATCGTTCGGTGAATATAGTAAAGTCGCTGGAAAACCAGATGTCGAAAGAACTCCCTGGATTGGTTATTCCCTTGCCGAATAATGTGACGGGAAATAATTCTCCAAAGGGGAAATCTATTCCATATAAATCTCGCTTGACTCCTAGTAATAATATGCTAAATTCATATGATCAATCTGCGCCTTCAAATGCGGTATCTCTTATCCCGAAGACCGCTGAGGATCGTGAGTCTGTTTCCGTTGTTCCTGTCGCAAAGCGTCTCCGCAGCAGAATGACCCCATCAGTCATTGAATGTTTGTCATCTAGTCGTACGCGACGTGCAGTTAAAGTACCGGATTCTTTGATCGGTGAATCTGCCACTACCGACAGTTCCGGTAAGAGTTCCATGGTGAAATCATCCTCTAGAAAAGTTAAATCTCAATCGAATAAAGAAGTTACCATACAGCCGTCGAAAACTATATCAAAAACCAAAAAGAAAGTTTCTTCTACGGATTCGCAGTGTCCTGATTCTCTACTGGATCATTCAGTCAATGCAGTGAAGTCTACAAACAACTGCGCATCAAAAAGATCTATGAAAAGACTTGCTGATGTTCGTAGAGTCTCTCCTTCTATTCCATTGGCCAAACGTCTACGGAATAGAATTGATCAGTCGGATATTAAATGTGTAACATCCGAACACACACGAAATGAAGAAACATCTTTACCTGTGAAAGACCAACCTAGTGAAAAGAAGAGAAATGGTACCAAAACAAATAATCTGCGAAACCGTAAACAGGTAACCACTTCACTATCAAAGCCACTTCCAGCTGCTTCATCTTCAAAATCTGTTTCAACCAATGAATCTAAAGATATAACAATGAAGTCTAAAACACGTTCACGAAATATTAAACGCGCTTCTGTTACGCCTGTTGATAATATAGCTAATGTTTCACCAAAAAAACGTGTTCTTCGCTCTCGTAAGTTAATAACTCCTACTTCAGAAATAACGTCAGAAATAAGTCAACCAATCCAAGAAAAAATATCAACTTCTAAAATCGCTAATAAATCAAAATTAAAGACCACTAATAATAATAGTAATAATAATAGCTCAGTAGCATCAAAATCAACTCAAGCTAAACAATCATCAATATCAATCCGTCAAACTCGTTCAAGAACACGCCAATAAACAATCTATGAAAACAAATAATGCTTTTATTCATTAATCCATAAATATTTCTTTTTGTATCCTTATAAACAACAACAAAGACAAAAATCGATTTTAACACCTTGATGTATTTATTTTAATGTAATCTATATTCGAATGAACAATAATCTGTTGCCCCTTTTCCGTTCAAGAGTACTATATAGGTATCTATTATCTAAATTACTTGTTATAATAGTATTATTATTATTATTATTATTATTATTATTATTATTATTATTATTATTAGCATTAATCAAATCTCTAGAGCTAAGACATTTACTAGTACAATTAAATATCAATGTTTAGTTGTTACGTAACTTGTTTATTCTCGGTTTTATGTTTATTCTCATTACAACCTTACTGTAATTTATTTCATCTTATTTTATTAAAAAAAAATACATATATTTACTGTCTACTACTTATGTTATGCTGTTCAATTGATGTTGTATATATACATATACATGTGTATTTATTATATATTTTAAGTGTATAATTGTTTCTTTTTATTTATTTATTGTTATTAATATTATGATTAATGTCAACTTATTTTCTAAACATTACTGCATTTATTTTGTTGTTGCTACCCCCCTTTTTTTCGAAATGGGATTCCTATTTGTCAGTCAGTCAGTCAGTCAGCAACAACGTAGGGCCAAGTACACATATATGCATCGGTCCAAGTTGCCATACCTCGTTAGCACAATAAGATGAACATCGGTTTCATAGAAGTAGTTAAGTCAATGGTGGTAGTATATGAAAGATAGGTTGTATATAAGGATATAATATATGAAGGAAGAAAGTTATGAAGCAATTCTAATCTCAAGGTTTAAGGGAAGACAGAGAGTGTATACACCTACGCCATTGTGATCGGTTCTGAGCCATGTTACCTAGAGTCTCCAACCATTAATTACGATAGTCACACGACCCCAACCAAGTAGTCTGCATCTACCAACATGACTCAGACTGGAAGTTAGTGACTTCAAACTCTGTTTTGGTTTGGCCGTCCCTAACTCTCTTCCATTCATCCCTAATATTAGTCAGCATAGCGCGTCGTGGTAATCGGTGTTCAGGCATACGTAACACGTGACCAAACCATCTCAGACGATGAAGATTCACAACCTCAACAACTAATTTACCATCATTTCCTAATACCCTGTGTCTAACCGCATTATTACTTACCCGGTGATCTCAACAGATGCGAGCAATATTTCTAAGACATCTTGTAACTTGTGAGTATCTTCTACTCTTAATGGCCATGTTTCACAGCCGTAATGTATATATATATATATATATATATATATATATATATATATACATATACATATAGCGTATAGTATAGTGTTCATTCTGAGGTCTAAGTGAACTTTATTTACATGAAAATGTTCAGTCAAGTTTTGTGTAGAGAATTTAAGTTTATTCATCTTTACAACCATGATATAAGTTTTTATCTAGTTCATTGTTCTGTTTATATAAAGTGTGAACAAGAACTCACTACTAATAATTTACCTAGATCCACTGAGTTCTAATTGACCTAAAATGTAAATCATACTTTGAAATGTTTATTCAACGATTTGTCAGGTATCTTTAAAAAAAGTTAAATCTAAGATTTTAGTTATCTACTAAGTAGAATAGATTAGTAGACTAGAAATTATACTACGTCATTTACTATAAGCCAGTTTCCTACAGTTTAATGAAATAAAGTAGCTGTTTGTTTTTGTCATATTAGTTTTAGAGTTGTGTGAATTCAATATTTAATGCTCTGTCTAAGAAATTTTCAGATATATAATGTTCAATATTTGTAAACAACTGTGATTGAGATAACTATGCGTCTTGAGATTTGCAACCAGTTAGCAATATAAGTACGGGTACTATTCTTTGAGAACGGTATTTGAAGTGTATACGGTCGACTTTACTGATCCTGACGAAATGTTGAAGATAACTTAGTGTATACATTAGCGCACAGTTGTATACTTAGATTGAGTTTCATTTCTAACGTTATCATTTATCATGATTTAAGAAACAAATAAGATTAAAAAAAAATCACATGATTTTAAAAATAAAATTTACAGATGGATATAGCATAAATGAAACTGGTTTAATGTAATGAGTTTTGTTCCATCTCAGATAATCTGTAATTTAAAATGACGACGATCCTCCAAATTCTAACTAGTCAAACTGCACCTATCGATACGACTCAATCCAATTGTCCGTATGAATGTCTCTGGCTTCTAACTAGTATAGACCATTCATCATTACGCATTTGAGTTGATGTATAATAAACGTCCAAACCGTCTAACGGAAAAGTCTTTATGATAGTACAATTATCGTAACCAGTAGTTGGAGACGGGTTACATTGATAAGAAAAGGTAGCAATATCATAAATGCATTCACTCCTTGTGTTCTCTTAAACCCTGAGTTTTGAAATCATGATATACGTTTTATTCCAATGAATTTATTCTCACATCGTCTATATTTAGTGTTTCCCCACTTCCACTGATACTGTTACCTCCATGGAATGCCTTGACGACTTAGGCTAGGCTTTCCGCTGTATATTATTGAATAACATTACATCATTAATATATTTATAGTGCATACCTCAAATCCGTTACCGCCCACTGAAACTCGTAGACTTTACTTCTTACATATTCGTGAACTTGTCACATGATTTTCATTTAACCGACTCATATTATCCTACATACTAAATCCAACATCCAAATATGATTGGTTTGACGAAGTATAGATTTTGATATGATTGTTGAAAAGACGCTACATAATTCTTTGATGAATTTGATTATTACATTGAAGAAGTCCAGACAAGTTAGCTGGACGAAACGTTGGAATTATTAAAATTTCAAATATAATTTTTACATATAATGACTTCTCTATGCTCGGCGCCCAATTTGTCAAGGTATTCCTTCTAATCTTGACGAATATTCGTATAGTTTGTTCTACATCTTATTTCATGAATTTCCTGGACATTTTATAGTATTGACTGTACAATCACGATGCGATTGATGATTATAAAGATATCAGACATTCTGTTTCCTCTATGGATAACATGGCGCTCTTATATGAAGTCAAGGTCTTAACTAGGTTTGTGAATTATTTTTAACTTATTCAATAATAAGTCTAGATATTTCTGATTAGCTTTAAGCTAAAAAGCACTTGTTAGTCGTTTATCTTTTGAATACATTATGGAGAGTGATGATGACGTAGCTCTCAAAATGTTTTAGAGAATATGAACTATTACTAGACTTTCACATCCCATCAAGCAGTATCATGCCAAGATTAAGCGTCACAAAACTTGGGAAAAGAACGGATGGGAAATCATAAACAATTGAAAGCCTTTCTTCGCTTATAAAATATATTGTTCGTCGTGTAAAGTAGACGAGTAAAAATTATATAATCAGTTTTATTTAGAACTGGGTTTTTAAATTTTTCGCGTAACTCGGAAGTCTTATTCGCTCTATTACGTAGGCAATGCCTCAAATACACTCGATTTCGATTTGTACTTTGAGTGCTTCATGTAGCTGTTAAATTCAATTATATCTCCGGAAGACGTGTTACCTGATGAAGCAATCAAAATATGCAATGTGGAAGTGTGTTATGTCAAAATGTTTCTGCAGTTGACACAAGTTTAGTTACAGCCTGAATTTGGAAGGCTCTATTAGCCTTCTCCAACTTGCATCACTTGTGGCTTAGGTTAAATAGCCGTCTACCAACAAAAGGATTAGTTTACTGTTCATCAATTTTCTTTGTTTTACTTCATGGATATGAAACACGGTTATTAAAAATAGAGGATGTTTGTAGATAATGGTATTCGATCATAGGTGTCTTTGGAGTGTCGCCTGTGTATTTTGCGACCACCGATTTAGTAATGTCAAAGTTAGGCTTAAGGTACGATGTAAATGTGGAAAATCAATTGGTATGGCAGTAAATCTTCAGCTGAGGCGGTTGGGACATGTGTACGTATACCTGATCATCACTTACATCTATAAGCGATTTACTGCAGGAGCAGGTTGGAATAAAGCTCGAGGCACCAATCCAAGAAGGCTTCAACAGTCGGACTGTCGTGTAAATTGGTGTAGGTGGTTGACAGGTTCATGATTTCAATGAAATTCAACAATCTCCAAAACCCCATACTAGGAATTATCATGTCCTCACTAGTGACTAGCTTCAGGAGGAAATTTCCAGAGTTCTAGTGAGAAGCGTGACCAATGGAGCTAAACTGTGTCGTGTGTGAAGCAGTTACCCACCGAAGACAGTGGAAGATGGTCGCACAGTATCGTGGATTGTTTAAAGCTAGACATTAACACTGTTGGATGCCCGCTTAATGGTCTAGGGGTTAAGTGTTTGAGTCCCGCATGTGGGATTGTGGATGCGCACTGTTGAGGAGTCTTGTACTACGACGAAGCTGACATTTAGTACTCCGAGGTTTCCTATATTGGTCTAACTTTGATCAGTTGTTTGTTCCAATGATATTCGCCAATTCTTTTCTTCGCGCCTGTCGCCTTCCTTAATGGTCGGAAACTGTTTGTTCGTGAATTTCCTAATGACAATACGTCGACTAAGGTAACTTGGTAATATTCTTTTAACATACAATGGGTCCCTGTTATGGTTATCTCTACGATTCCGATGAATTTAAAAGTCAGAGTGGCTAGGATTGGATTGACTAAGATGTGTTATCGGTCCGTAAAGCCACTTGTTTTGGCTATTATTTGAAGTCTTCAATGTACCAAATATTATTTGTTTGAGACTGGGGATGTTATTCATTTGTTGTATTTCTCTAAAATTTCAATGTCCTTTCTCCTATGTCTAAGCATGTTTATCTTCATTTTAATATATTTCTGCCTTATCGTTTTTATTATTGGATCGGCTTTGAACTAGGACATGGTTGTACACTTTTCGTAATTACTGTCTCTCTCTTCGGGATCGGTCAACTAGTAGTATGTAATGCTTAGTTGTTTCAAATTGATAAACTTCTG